GTAATAATAATAATAGTAATAATAATAGTAATAATAATAGTAATAATAATAGTAATAATAATAATAANGTCTTATTAGTGTAAACGTAATTTTCTGTCGCATCTCGTTGGCGCATTTGTATCACCATTTGCCCCCCTCTCCCTTTTTTTTTTCCATCTTTCTATACTGCGTCTCCTTAACAACACTCTCTTTATAAGAAAAACTCTATTTATCGCATACATACATATATACATACATTAAAATTGATTGAATATACATAAATGGTAAGTAACAAAATCCTTTTTTACGATTATTTATAATTTTGTTTTGCAAGGGAAACAAATTTGAAAAATAAATTCGACTTCTTTTTTTTCTTTTTTCTTTCTTTTTTTTTTTTTTCATACATCTACAAAAAACGGAGACGAGAAAATATTCTTTCTCCCGAAAACAATATTATCAAGGAATGTGTCAGATTTATATGTAAGGTTGCTTTGTTTCTCCTTCCTTTCTTTTTCTTTATACCTTTTTATTTCTTTTTTCTTTCTGTTATTTTTATTATTTTAAGTAACTAACCACAAGAGTCAGACGAGAAAACGTCGATTTCATGATTATCTAAAACAGAATATAAAAATGACTTGATACAGAATCGTTAGTAGTGCACACATCGAGATGTTCGAAGAAAAAAAAAAAAAAAAGAAAAAAAAAAAGAATTAAATAACTTCTAAGACTTCGGGTGTTACATTATCTAAAAAATAATTATCTAAAAATTTTTTAACATTATTCCTTTTCAAATATATTCATACAAGCATTCATACAACGACGCTCTTTTTTATTATTTATTCGACCATATATTTTGCACGATATACTTTCATTTTCACCTCTGACCCTCCTCTGATAACCGCAGAATTCACCTTCTTCGTAAATATTTAAAGAGAAAGTTTAAAGTTTACGAAACGATCGTACGAGAGAGAGAGAGAGAGAGAGAGAAAAAAAGAAATCTAAAATAAAAAAATAAGACGTGCCGTGCAGAAACTCAACAAGAAGAGAAATAATGTTAGAAAAAAATAGATAAAAAAAAAATATGGATATCTTCGAAGTTATAATTTATTTGTTCTTGAATCCCATGATTCTCGTTAGATCGTAACGTGTATTTTTTGTATATATATATATATATTCTCAATGCACTTGTTGAAACTTACATATATACCATATTCTTTGATTTTTCTTTCCATTTCCTTTTTATTCAATATATATTTAGCCTCTGCGATTGCGAGTTGAACACACCGCGTTACTTCAGCACTTCAAATCGTTTACAAATTAAACGCAGGAGACGGATGTCGATCCGATTTCTCACATTTCATTCATGATTGCTTTTTCTTTTTTTTCTTATTTTTTTTTTTTTTTTTTTTTTTTTTTTTTTTTT